AACTACAAAAAGACAAGCCGGAAAGACAAAAAAAGTGTTATATTTTGTAGGTTTATGAAAATCACTTCGTCAAGGCGAGTCAATATGGCAAGAAGAACGAAAAGCTTAGAAATCAGAGACACAAAACGTCTGAGCTTGTTGCGCGATATTGTTGCAGCTATTCAAGTCTAGAGTCGATGTTTCTCGCTTTTCACTAGAAACTTGTCCCTCAGCAAACATGCCGTGAAACACTGTGAAAAACAAGAAACCCTAAGCTGAACGTGAGCAGCAACAACTTGTGCGACAAGTTGTTGTCTTTAATTCCTTATTAAGTTCTGAGGAATATCAAACCAAATTAACATCATAAAACATTGCTAGCGTTAACACTAAATCTTACTGTTAGGCCAAGTTGTTTGTTAGTGTTGGACGAAGTTGACCGGAGCATCGAAAATGTGGGATGGAGCGTGAATCCGTTTGCCCACCCAAATGTTTGTTTGATGTTCCGACAATATTGGGGTCGCTAGACATTGTTTGATCAYGTGTTCGGTGATCAACAAAGGTTTCGTACTTAGCCCGTACATTGGAGTCTCTGCGGTAGATGTGGGTGATATTTATATCATTTCACCTGTACTTATAAATCAATTTTATGAATGCAAACAATGGAGGTGTAACAACAGGAGGCTCGAGCGATCCCCTATATCGACTCACCCCTTTTCTATATCGACTCTTGCATTTCGGACTCCAATAGTAGTTATAACTTATAATGGTACAAACTAGCGGTAAACTAGTGTGAGCTGCGTCAGTGTTTCTAAAGAAACAGTTTTGTAAAAAGATAAATTTAACACCGTAAAAATAGCTGAAACAACTTACTGAAGTTTCGGACGTCAATCCTTCGTCGGAGTAAAGAAAAGGTATAACTTATAAACTTATATATATAACTCTTTCCTTCTCTTTTGCTAGAGTGAAAACGCCACAAATGTGAATTTAACAGAACTGCATTAAATAGTGGTAAATAACTGTAGAGCGGAAGTAATGAGTACAGAAAAAAACMCTGTGAAATAGATATTACAATAATACACCTTAGTGCGCTCTAATGAATAGTTTTTGACTTTTACATTATCTTATAATTCAACAATACGGTAAACTTTCTTCTGTTCATATTGTTTGAGAGTCGATCACGTGAAACGATAGTGCACGTGCTGTCAGTGCATAGAGCTYGCTGAACTRTGTTCGCAGGCGACTATTCGCTTTTCGTATCATTCGGTTTCCGTGGGCAACTATCGCAGCATAATCCTTTCAATTCAAATCCTCTATTGATTAAAGAGTGCGATTATCGCAGTAGTGGCGGAAGCTTTTTACTGTCCAGGTAAAACTTTTTTTAATACGACATTGAGAAGCTTACCATCTTGAAYATAAGTACTTGACCGGCCTAGTTAATCCTTAATTCCTATGCAAAAATACCCCCTCCCCACCCTGAAAAGGTTGGTATTTCTCAGATAAAAATACCTAAAGAGGACAAATTATTGCAGTTGTTTGTAAATTTGTCGTTACCCAAGAAACATCTTGTACCAATATGTGCAATAAAGCAGTCTACATGATTCTGGAGTCCTGCTGGTGAGGTTCAGAATTTYCCATTCAACAAACGAGATACAATGACCTCAGTTTGTATACATCTATAATTGTATGKTTGAAGTCGGAATCAAGTTTCAACAATTCCTAAGAGTTGGTTTATTTGACCAAAATGCTTCCCATATGCTTAGTGTTTTGGTGCAATATCAATCCTTTCAATCCCCCCCTAACTCTAACCCTAACCCCCCCCCCCCCCCCCCCCACCCCGACTATCCGGCTAAAAATATTGACCTCAACAGCAGGCACGTTACTCGGGCTTCCTTTACAGTGGTATTTTGCTGAGCACGAAGAAAAAAATACATTCACGCAGAAAAAATATATATATTCACTCATAATGGTGTCTCAAACCTGAGTTGCGGGTACCGCGACGCCATTTTGTAAAATACAGCAAATTGTGGGGAATGTAGCCCTCGTATCACTTATAATTATGTCTGCTAAAAAGCTCTCAAATCTGTTTGAAAAAGTTGCGAAAGATGTATTCTATTGCAGAAAATATAAAACGGGTTTGTGTGATCATTATTAATTAAAAAAACAGTGAATAAATGATAATCAAAAAATGGACATAAAAACATGACATTGAAAATGTCTAATAGACGAAACATGTATCATTGAGAGTCTTGGTCTTTTAGTGTGTCAAAAGGGATRATYTARAAACAAAAACAGGTTCACATGTAGWATGAWATAAAAAGTACGATTATTACAATTCCCATGATGCCATGTTCTACAATATGACATCGCTGAACATAATATTTCAAAATACTGCCAATCTTTAAATGGTTGTCCACCTAAAACGACATTTCCAATGTTACAGTTGTGATCACGTGTCTTGCCGATATATATTCAGTTTCTGTACGTGCAACATTCTGCTAATGTCATGTAGAATTTTAAAAATGTCAGTTTTATACTAACACACCTGGCATTCTAGACCATTAGTTACGCTAACGGAAGGGGTATATTTTCATAACTCACGTGGCAATTGGAACATTGGAAATGTCTTATTAGTTGAAAAACCTATTAGTAAAACGACCAAAACACTTGTGAAGATTATATTCCYATCATGCTCTACTCCATTGTACAAAATGGCGTCGCTACACATTGTTATTAAAAATATATATCTACATTGTGTGGGACATGAAATCCTTAGCATTCCTAACGTATATACAATATAATAATTGATGCTTAACTAAATATAGAATGGTTTTGTTATTTTTATCAACATGACCCGAAATAGCTAGACAATCTCAACTGAAAGACTGCAAGACTGCGTTAATACCCACAAAAGTCTAGGATATTCTATCTCATAGGAAGAGCGCGGGTAATATCAATGCTCATCAATGATATCAAATAGCGTCTCTCAATTTAATAAACAAGTTATAAGTCACGTTATTATTGTCTAAGAGGAGGAAATCATGACATATTTTTAAAAAATAAACGGAAAGGTTTGAAGTAGTTTTAGTGATTTTGAATCAATASTTTTGAGATTCAGAAGATGAATGATGYAAAACACYACGAAAACKTCAGAGGTTGTCCACAATGATGCGTTTTCGTTTGCATGTCGTTTTTTCACTCCCTTGAAGACGGAGGAAACAGATACGATACGAAAACGTTCTTGTCCGCATAGATGCGTGTCCGTAGCGATTCTACGTCGTTTATATTCCCTTAAGGGCGGAAAACAAGACAAAAAACGTTACGAAAACGTCAGGACAATTYTACACTGATGCGTTTYCGTATGATATTTGYTTCGTTTTCTTTCCATTGAGGACAACAAAACAATTAAGAAACGCTACAAAAACGCCTTACWTATTGATACGTTTTGGCGACGTTTTCGCGTTGCTTTTCATTCTTTTTAGTACGAATAACAACGCAGAAACAATACGAAAAGGTATCAGGTCGAGATCGTTATTTCACACCGATACAGAGGTACTGCGGAAACGCATCATCATGGTCGCGACAGCATGCACGTACTAGGATTATGTCGTTATAGTTTCCACGACTGAAGTGTACTTGATGCAATGCTTCATCAAGTCATCGAGACAGTGACACAAATACTTCTAGAATTACAATCAATCTCCGTGTTTTAGAGAATTAAATGTATTAAAATAAATTGGCCAATTTAGAGAGCACGCAAATGTAACTGGATGATTCATATTTGAAATACTTCGTATTATCACAAAATGCTCGTTTTGAATCTTGCAGAATGGATTCTTTTAAACTTATGAATTGCTTTGTTTAACTTCTATGATACATAATTTGTTCCCTGCTTTTTGAAAGGTTAGAGACCTTAAAGTCAWGGAAGCCACGAAGCAAAAATGTTAAAAATCTATTTGTAAATAGACGAAAAAAAACCTCAAAAACAGCTGCTTTATATAAAAWATATCACACAAAAACAATTTTTCGTTTGACAACAACCTGAGAAAAACAATCTGCTTGTAATATGAGGTGTCGAAAGAAAAGTCGTAGCTTCTCGATGCAACACTTTTGTCAGTGACTTTGTCCACGTGTTTAAAGCGCGCGWAAACATCGAATTCAGCCCTAGTAGGCGTGAACTACTGAAAATGTGGACACCGTCAAGTTGCGGTTGAACTACACTATTTGACAAAGAAATATTCAGTGATTCAAGGTTGTAATCCAATTAATAGCGCWKRAGTACATTGAGTACAAAATACTATTCAAACTGGTTTTTACTGCCTTAGCGGTGATGACAGTTGGTCAAGAAATTATTGTAACGAAACTCATGATGTATAGACATTCATTTGAATAGTGTGTTGTCCGAGACGCGGTATTGTATAATTTTTTTAAAGTAATGAAGATGATTGGCAAATATTAAATTATTAATAATATTATTATATTAGTTAATAATATTAGTCTGCATTGCTCTTTTACTGGTCTACAATAGAGAGGAAAATCGAGTGACTGGCGTCAAGATCTATGATAAAATGACATCGAACGGAACTTGTCTCGTTAGATAYGGACAGACTATGGCACAGACTCAAAAATTCATTGAATTCGCAACTATTGTCTCCATAGTTGTTCAGCAAGTAGAACTGCAGTAAATTTAACGACAGATATTTATTGAACTTAAGAATAAATGTGGTCGCAAAAGATGAGTTYTTTTAACGTCATAAAAGCCTTCAAAGCTCAACTACCTCAGCCACAAGATTCTCTTTGAGGACAATGACTTTTACAGTCTGACAGACTGCACTCTCTCAATCACACCATTTAGATTGGAGTTGAAACACTTTTCATCAAGAAGTCATTAGAAATTAGAAGAGGGTCTCCGGCGAGTTAGGAGAGACAACCATTTCATAATAAGACTGTCTGTCACAAGTATAATGGATACCTTTATAATTAAAATAAATAAGCAAGTTCAATGACATAATAATTACCCTTACCTTGAAATGGACCGGCGCCTTATCCAAGAAATCGCGCACCAAATGGGGTTTATAATTCCACAAATTAGACTTTCAATTGCTCTAAGTGGTAGAAAGCAAAGCCCTTGTTAATCTAAAGTAACTTGCAATGCGAGTGTTATCATGGACTACAGTTACAGAGCTAGTCGTACAACATAACAGCAAAGCGCACTAACTAAACTGCGATAGTGCGCTATGTTATGTTACGGCTTATAGACCCCGGCCTTGGCCCGCCACGATAGGAATGCTAGTAGACATCAATCATCGCCTTGACGCTGCATTAAGGGCACTGACGAGACATTGGATTGTCTATATCGACTACGAAAGAGGTTTTGAAATGATTAAACAGTCAAATGAGGAGCGACAATGTTAGTTAATATGTAAAGGTCATCTTGAAATAAGTCAGTTTTTTTGAGATGCATATCGTTTTGATAAGGAAATGTTGATAACATTGTTTTTTGTTTATGTTTTTGTAGCAAGTAATAAAAAAATACAGTTCAATAAAATAATGAACATATTATTGCCTTACTAGTGGTATATGAAGGCACATTTCCGTACATTGTACTAAAAAGTTGACAATTTTTAAAAATGTTGAAATTTTGCGGTAGTTGCCGGAAAGAGTTCATTGACTATATACGCGATATAGTTTAATCAATAACAAATTTGTGACGCATGTGCAAAATCATTTATCTTTTATTGCTAAAAGGTGCTATTTGGTGTAGTTTCTCACAAAGTGTCCCACGATTAAGAAGAAATGCACTTTATCCAAAACAGTCTAATTACCTAAAGGTGGCAGGTTTTCCYACCCCTCCCCCCTAATCTCCCCTATCGTCTTACAATCAAGCACACATTTTCATCAGATTTTCATACTTGATTACTATGATTACTTTATAATTGAAGAAACGGCCATAGTTTTAAAATTGTAGGCTTGACATTTGATGATAACAAGAAAGGAGTAAGCTTTAAATTATTTAAGGAAGTCCTATCTTTAGTCAAATATTTGAACTTCGATTTGCATGACATTTGTTTAGTATTAACTGCATTTCTAGGATTGGAAAACATGTTGATTGGAGCCATACATACAATTACTATAAGCAATATACCTTTTTAAGTTTTCTACAATAACAATAGCAATAACAACAGCAACAACAACAACAACACAATACAAGGCAATACAATAACAATAAGAAACTAAAAATAACTTGTCTTATCATATAATTATCTATGAAATACCTATATTTCTCCATAAAGTTGTTACTTCCAATAGTAAAAAATAACACATTCGAGGTTTCTCTATRTAGTGGRAGTAAGAAAAAAGGTATTTTACMACATAATTTTCTTCCATATGTTRTTATATGATAAACAGAATATTACATGGTCGCTTGGAGATACGAATTTCAACTTCTTGTATTCGCTGCACTCACTCGTGAGAGATYTTTTCAMCACTCRAAGATAAWATCCGTATCTMCGCGCGSCCATGTAATATCCTCTATATATGASTATATAKGTATAAGACGTATTTGTGAATTTGCTAAGTTCAGGTCCTAACTGCATTCTGGGTAATGTTAACAGCTTGCTACTATACATTTAAATCCAAGATGGCGATGAACTTTTCAGTCACCTTCAAGACAAGCAGCTAAGCTGGAAGCAAATGCCCATGAATTTATAATTCACAGCTTCGCAGGAAAACTTGCTATACTTAAAGACAGGTTATCCAAACCCGTGAGACTGTGATTGACTTTGATATCATTACAACAAACTACATGCAGTATTGCTACACGATTAAGATATTATCATCGTTATTGATGGATCTCATAGAAATGCATTGTGCTCTAGGCTCGTGTAATTGCTTGTAAAGGGTGGAAATATAAGTGATAAAGGATTCTTAATAAACATATCATTCTACCGTACAAAGACAAGCGATAAGAAGAATTAAAAAGCTGGGTTTCTAAATAAGAAAGGACGCAGTAAATATTAAAAGAAGACGCGTGTTTGTGTTCTTAACCTTATAGCTAGAAAATCATTACAGAAATTAAATAACGTGGGTTGGATATGCGAAGAAGGAATTGAAAACGGACTTAAAGATCTGAATTCYTAACCTTTGTTATCGYACTATGGAGAATAAAAMGCTTGCTAGCTTGAGGCTTTTTGRTTAATTTGTAAATGAACCGATAGCTTGTAGAGTGATATCAATGSAGCGTTAATATGGTTTCTTGCATTTCTGTCAATGAAATTATACTCTCTCAGACAGAGTGTTATCGCAGGTCACCGTGTTAAAGTGAGGGAAAGTATACATGTATTCACAGAGAAGAAGGTCGACGCAAAAAAAAAAAAAAAGGAATTGAAATCCTATAAGAATAACCGAAGAGAAAAAGAAGCAGAAGGAGGGCGAGGACGAGCAGAAAAAGGAGAAGATTGGTGAATGAGGGAAAGC